ACCTGACGCTGTTGCGGTTGGCCTCTCCTGCCTTCGTGCGCGTGGTTTCTGTGAGGGATGCGTACCAGACCACAAGAGTACACTACGCAGAGCTCAGAGTTCGGCTAACAGCTACAAAGGTAGAAGTCTCCAAGGTCTCTTCAGTCAACGTCGAGTATGAATCTCCTTGATCCGATACGGGCCCCTCGAGCTACGTTATCAACCAAGATTCACTAGAGTTAGCGTATAGAATTCGACCGTCTTCGACGTGATAGTTCAGGTAGAGTTCGAAGTCACGATAGAATAAAGTAATTCCAAAAGTATAGTCAAATAAAGTTGTAACTCGCTGTGAGGGATGCGTACCAGACCGCAAGAGTACACTACGCAGAGCTCAGAGTTCAGCTAACAGCTACAAAGGTAGAAGTCTCCAAGGTCTCTTCAGTCAACGTCGAGTATAATTCTCCTTGATCCGATACGGGCCCCGCGAGCTACGTTATCAACAAAGATTCACTAGAGTTAGCGTTTGATGTTCGACCGTCTTCGACGTAATAGTTCAGGTAGAGTTCGAAGTCACGATAGAGTAAAGTAATTCCAAAAGTATAGTCAAATAAAGTTGTAACTCGCGTATCAACGATTTATATTGTTAAGACTCTGATTTCGCCGATGATGGTTTGGCTAGTCAGTGAATGACACCGTATTTATATCCCTCGCTTATGTCTCGAGGACCCAGTCTACTAATAATACCAAATACACTCGGGGCATGCCCGAGACCCTGAAAAACAACCAAGAACATTTAACTCCTAAGTCCGTAACCCAAACTCCTAAAGCCGCTGAAACCCCTCAACCTATTTATCCACTCTAATGCACGTTTCCCTGTCGATGTTTCCTCTCCATCGGCCGTTCAGGCCTCTTCCCACATCGCTTTCCCACATAGCAGAGTCCTCTCATGCCCACAGGTACCGCCGATAGGTACTCGGTCGGCTGGCAGCTTGCGCCGATTCGCTCCGAGCGGTCCGATCTTCGATCCGATTGATTCCAGCTGTCCCTCATATATCCACCGGTACCAAAACACTCCCCTCCGGCGGTTTGACGCTCCGGGGGTTATTATTGGGGTCGAAAACGTATTTTTTAACTAGGAAAACCGCAACTCCGCATTTGGTCGCATATTGATCGCACCGTACCTCGTAGGTGCGAACCGGAGTTGATAGTGGTGTTGCCATTAGTATTAAAGGGTATAGGGGTATCTACTAGCCTTTCTCTCACTCCATAAATGCTTGGCATGCCCGTAACACTCGCGTATCAACGATTTATATTGTTAAGACTCTGATTTCGCCGATGATGGTTTGGCTAGTCAGTGAATGACACAGTATTTATATCCCTCGCTTATGTCTCGAGGACCCAGTCTACTAATAATACAGAATACACTCGGGGCATGCCCGAGACCCTGAAAAACAACCAAGAACATTTAACGCCTAAGTCCATTACCCAAACTCCTAAATCCGCTAAAACCCCTCAACCTATTTATCCACTCTAATGCACGTTCCCCTGTCGATGTTTCTTCTCCATCGGCCGTCTGGTGGACAATCGTCAGCGTCGGCTATTCGGAGGTCTCGGATGGCAAGGCTACCTACTCAGGCCTCTTCCCACATCGCTTTCCCACATAGCAGAGTCCTCTCATGCCCACAGGTACCGCCGATAGGTACTCGGTCGGCTGGCAGCTTGCGCCGATTCGCTCCGAGCGGTCCGATCTTCGATCCGATTGATTCCAGCTGTCCCTCATATATCCACCGGTACCAAAACACACCCCTCCGGCGGTTTGACGCTCCGGGGGTTATTATTGGGGTCGAAAACGGGTGTTTTAACTAGGAAAACCGCAACTCCGCATTTGGTCGCATATCGATCGCACCACACCTCGTGGGTGCGAACCGGAGTTGATAGTGGTGTTGCCATTAGTATCAAAGGGTATTGGGGTATCTACTAGCCTTTCTCTCACTCCCGTAAATGCTTGGCATGCCCGTAACACTGTTCGCTGGAACGTATACGTGTGGGTTGGCAAAGGAATGGTTCATGGAATACATCGAGACCAAGATGCTAGGACCGGCAGCCGCGGACTACGCTACTTGGACTCGGTTCCGTCAGGAGATTAGGAAACGTTTCTTAAGTACTCAAGAGGCTATGGAGAACGCGATGAAGATGCAGCAGTTTAAGTACTTGTAACGGAGCCATTTCAACTGTCTGGTGTATGAGTACACACAGGGCCCGGTTGCATGCTGAGAGTTATTGTTAGAAGCCAGTTGCACGGTGATATGCAAGTACCGGCAGTGTGGTTAGCTACCAGCTGTTAGAGTAACTACAAATCCGGGCGCTAGGAAGGGGATCTATTCATGGGAGCAATGACTGACGAGTCTATGCCTCGCCAGTGTCTAGAAGACCGGCCAGAGTGAAGCTCTGATTGTCCGGTGATCCACTGTATCCTCTGAGCATTGTAAGTCCGCCGAAGGGCAGGGACTATGCTAGGGAAGTCTACAATAAGCGAAAGCTCTACAGCAATGATTAAGCTTACACCTGAGCGGCAGCTCATTCATGCAGGTCCTCGGTTGTGTGGCAACCAAGGCTGCAGGTGTTACAAAGGCTTTGACTAAGGGTGGTTGCCTTGGGTATCGGAAACACCTGCTGACGCTTAGAGAAAAGCGGGGTAGCGGTGGTATTGTTTTCCGGTACTGAGGGAAGGCCCACAGGAACTTAGTAAAGGAGTTAGGAGCAGAGAATAGAGGCCTTCGGAGTATAAGTACTCAGGTTCATTCTCGCCCTTCAGTCCTGTTCTCTCCAGTCTTCATCAGAAAGAAAACCAAGTTCTTATCGGTAGCAGAGCCCTTAAAGATTATTGAGTTCTAGCGATAGTATCTTTGAATAATCTGCAACCTGATTGTCTATCTTGCACGGCTGTCTCTATTCTACTTTATTCTATTTCTCTTAGAAGAGACCCCCGTTACAGATAATCTTTAAGGCTCAAGTCACCTTCAGATTATTCTTCCTCTATACAAAATGTCCGCCCTCTCGGCTCCAGATGCACCCCTTCAGATTGAATGGCAGCCGGTGCCCCTCCAGCTTGATGCCACCGGGCAGACACAGTTTGTTAAGAAACCCAGGACCGCTTTACAGACCTACATTCCTGGTTGTGAGCCTGCCTGGCAGGATACCGACGAGATTTCCATCCAACAGTTCTTCACAGAGCTTCAGACCTACCTCCAGCATAGCCTGCAGAATCAGTTGACCCGGGGCAGTCAGGCACTACTCCTTGTACAAGAGCGCCAGGCAGCACAGAATGCTCTAATGGCAGAAGCTCTTGAATACATGAGGCATGAAGTCAACTCTGTCCAGGAAGAACTCCGAAAGTATGCGGAGAGAGATGAACTGCAAGCCGATGCCATGGAGATTGAGTGGACAAACCCGGCAACTCCACCAGACTTTGTGGCCGAGATACAGAAAGCCCTTGATGAAGGAAGACTAGTGGTAGCGAGACCAGCTACTCCGGCACTAAATCCAGGCTCCAGGTCCTCGTCCAGGGCAGCCACCAGGACAATGCAGCGGAAGACCAGTCCCTTCGCAGCATTTCCGGTCAGATCCACTAGGAGAGTTGTTCCTATTGTCCAGCCAGCGGTGGGAGCATCTCCCTTACCTCCTAGCCGCTTTGCAGGAATAAACCCATTCCTTGGATTAGCCGACCGATCCTTTGACTATGAGGGAGAACTCTATCCAGGTGCAGGCCGAGGACCTCCCAGCCCGCTAGCCAGGAACCCAGGAAGGTTCACCATGTCTGGGGCCGCTCAACCAGCAGCAACCTCTCCACTGGCCAGCAACCCGGCACCAGTAGTACCTGTGGCCCCTTCTGCTGCGGCCGCTGCTCCCCCTCCAGCCAATGCGCAGGGTGGAAGCGGTGGGAACCAGAACCCTCCAGCCAATGCGCAGGGTGGAAGCGGTGGGAATCAGAACCCTCCACCTCCTGCGGCCCGTGCCCCTGCTCCTGGAGATTCAGACAGTTCTGACAGCTCGGACTCGGAACCAGAAGGTGGTGATAGAAGAAGCTGGCGGAGATACCTTAAGAAGAAGTTGGGGAAGCAACAAAGGGATTTGTTTGCTATGATGTCCCAGCAGTATCAACCTCCGGCCACCTCTCACCCTTCTACTTGCACCAGAGCTCGAGAACCAAAGGCACCACCACCCTCCAAGTTTCAGGGCAAGGCGGAGCAAGTGGAGACCTTCATTCGGCAATGTGAGAATGTGTTCTCCATTGAGAGTCTGTCATTCACCTCTGAGGAGGTTAAGATCCGATATGCAGGCAACTTGATGGAAGGAGAGGCAGCGATCCGATGGTATGAGGCATACCACAATTCAATTGATCAAGCCTCCGCCAATCGCCTTGCTGGGATGCCGGTGACTTTGGATCAGAGATGGAAGCGTTGGGATTCCTTTGTGGATGCTTTTAGAGCTGCCTTCGGTGAAGCCATCTCTAGAGATGATGCTGTAGCCCAATGGAATACCCTTACCCACACAGCCCGAGGAGGAATAGACCTCTTCCTGAATACTATCATTCAGCTGATGTGGAAGACTGGCTACGAGGGTCAGTTGGTGGATGATAAGATTCATAATTCCCTCCTCCCGGACCTAGGCATGAGTTGGGCTCTTTTTAATCCCAAGCCAAAGTCCTTGATGGAGCGGATAGCTGCTCTAAGGGAGTTAGGGCACACCCATGAGAGGTACCAAGGGATGGCAGCTGAGAAAGCGCACCCTCGGACCAAGAAAGATCCTCCCGCTCAGAAGGACCAGCAGCCTAAGAGGAAAAGAGAAGCTGCGAGCTCCTCCGGACCTCAGAAGACTCCTGGACCTAAGGACAAAGCGGTGGAACTGAAGGGTATCCCGGGGGATATTCTAGAAGAAAGAAGGAAAGCAGAAGTATGCTTGAAGGTATGACCTTCCGGTACTCCCTATTGGTAGAGTGCATAGACTGACTTGTGCAATAGTGCGGCAAGTCCAGACACAAATGGACCGATTGTTGGTCAAAGGAACCTACTGTTGTCCGAGTGGCAGCAGTGAGAGTACAAAAGCGGAAAAGAGGGAATGGCAAGTCCAATTCCCAGAAGAAGGCTAAAGTGGCTGCTGTAGTAGCAGAGGATCCACTTGTTGTACTCCCGGAGGTTACAGAAGATTTTGTTTTGCAGCCTGAGCAAGACTCGGACAATGAAATCCTCTGGTAGAAAAGTGTCTGTTTGGGTCTAGGTGTACTAGTTTTCTTTTATATGGGTTTTTGGTTTCTATGTTTCTCTTGAATAAATTTTGATTGTGTTTTCCGCCTATTTGATTGCTGCAAGCACTCTGAGGATGGGTTTAAGACCCGAAACAGCTGGTCTGTCAGTGCTCAACCAAAGTTACATTTGCTACCAAGACACTTCCAAAACCGCTGAAAAGACTACACAATACTTCTGCTATATTATCGCTTGGGAATAGAACCAAAGGATCTTTGATCTTAGTAGTGCCCGAAGCTATTAGCTTTGTTGAAAAGACAAAGAGAAACGAGTTCAGAACCCGCTGTGAAGCAAAGAAAGTTGGAACAGAGGCTTCCTTCTTTACCAGTACATGGAAAAAGACCTATACTGAAGGCAGGACTGTCATGGACGGTCAAAGGAAAGGATGAAGGCGCCCAAGGGTCTTTCCTGTTTGACACCGGTTGTACAGGAGCTATCCTCAACCAGAGTTTTGTCAGAAAACATGGAATTCCCTTAGTGCGGCGGGATCAACCTCTGACAATGTTTGATGCTCAAGGAGATGTCATGATGGGAGGAGGCGAGTATTATACTCACCCGGTCCGTATGACTATGGGAGATCATAAGGAGATACTCCGATGGGAGGTGGCTACATTGGAAGAAGGAATGACCGGTTACCTGCCAATTAGTTGGGCTAGGAAGCATAACCCGGACATCAACTGGGAACTCAACACCATGAGCTGGAGGAGTGACTACTGCAAGCAGAATTGTCTCCCAGCAGCCACCAAGATTGAACTGATCTCTCCATACCAAATGTTGGAAGAAGAAGAGACAGTCTATCAATTGGTTGGTTCAGTATGGCATGATGAGGACGGAGGTGATATTGCTGAGAAAATACACCACCTATACCGGGATTGGGCCGATGTGTTCAGTCAAGAGAGAATTGAGGAAATGCCGCCGCATTCCCATAATGATTTGAAGATCAAACTCTTGCCTGGCACCGCTCCCCCATTTGGCCCGCTATACCCATGTTCCGCTCCAGAATTGAAGGCGCTCCGAGAGTACCTGGACAAAGAATTGGCTTCAGGAAAGATCTCTAGATCTAATAGCCCTGCTGCTGCCCCCATACTGTTCATTCCTAAGAAGGATGGGACATTGCGGATTTGTGTGGACTACAGAGGTTTGAACAAGGTCACTGTCAAGGACAAGTACCCGCTGCCTATCATGAGTGAGCTCAGAGACAGGTTGTTCAAGGCCAAGATCTTCACAAAGATAGACCTGAAGAACGGCTTCAATTTGATCAGGATAGCCGAAGGTGATGAGTGGAAAACCGCTTTCAGAACCCGCTATGGACTGTATCAGTATAATGTGATGCCATTTGGTCTATGCAATGCTCCCTCCGCTTTCCAGGCAATGATCAATGATGTGCTAAAGGAACTACTGGATGAAGGAGTAGTTGTCTACATTGATGACATCCTCATCTACTCGGAGACTGAGAAAGAGCATGAACTATTGGTCAAGAAGGTACTACAGAAGCTTAGGGAAGCTAAGCTCTGTGCCTCGATCAGTAAGACCTCCTTCCATGTCCGAGAAGTAGAATATCTAGGCTATCACATCTCGGAAGAAGGAGTATCAATGTCAGAAGACAAGGTAGAGGCAGTTAAGGAATGGCCGGTCCCTGAAAATATCAAGGCAGTACAGGCATTCCTCGGATTTGCAAACTTCTATCGCCGCTTTATTGAAGGCTTCAGTAAAGTTTGCAAACCATTAACTGACCTCCTGCAAAAAGACAAGAAATGGTATTGGACGGCAGCACATGAGCAGGCCTTTGAAGAACTCAAGAGGCTGTTCACAAGCGCTCCAATCCTCCTTCATTTTGACCCTAGTAGGAGAACGGTGGTCGAGACAGATGCCAGTGATTTTGCCAAGGGAGCGGTGCTCTCTCAGTATGGGGATGATGGGAAGCTACATCCGGTGGCATTCTATTCTAAGAAGTTCTCCCCTGCTGAGATCAACTATGACATTCATGATAAGGAAATGGGAGCTATTGTAGCCTCTTTCCGGGAATGGGAACACATGCTCAAATCTTGTGAGCAAGAGATCACGGTTTTTACAGACCACAAGAACTTGGAGTACTTTAATTCTACCAAGGTTCTCACTAGGCGGCAAGCTAGATGGTCTGAAGACCTCGCAGGCTACAATTTCAAAGTTGTCTACAGACCGGGAGAAAAGAATGGCAAGACTGATGTGCTATCTAGGCGCTGGGATCACCGCCTTGGAGAGGGAGGTGAAACTCTGCAGCCGGAGCCACAGACCTTTTTTAGGCCAGGTCAATTGGTTTTGGATCCTGTAAAGCTAGGGGCTGTCAGGGTGAATCAGTTGCAGAATACATTCTTAGAGCGCCTATACACGGCTGCTAAAGAGGATAGTTTCTGGCAGGAATTGCACCGCTCCCTGGTTGAAAGGAAACCAAATTTGGACCAGAACTTGTCGGTCAAGAACGGTCTCATCTTCTACAAGAATAGATGGTATATACCCAAAGACAAGAAGCTTCAGATGGAAATACTGTCCGATAACCATGACTCTAAGGTGGCGGGTCACTTTGGCCAATTTAAGACACTAGAGCGGGTGAAAAACAACTTCTTTTGGCCCAACATGGATAAGGATGTTGAGGAATATGTCCGGAGCTGTGACAGCTGCCAGAGGAATAAGACCTCCAGACATAAGAAGTTTGGTATGCTCCAACCGTTGGAGATACCCTATCGGCCATGGACTTCCATCTCTATGGACTTCATTGTGGGATTACCGGAATCTAGTGGGTTTACAAAGATCTGGGTAATAGTGGACCGCTTTTCGAAGATGGCACACTACATCCCTCTCCCTACCCTCAATAAAACGGAAGATTTGGCTAAGTTGTTCTTGAAGGAAGTTTGGAGACTCCATGGTTTACCTGATGACGTAGTCTCGGACAGAGATAGCAGGTTCATTTCTCACTTTTGGCAATCTCTCATGAGTCTCCTCAATGTGAAGCTGAAGATGTCCACATCTTTCCACCCCCAAACGGACGGTCAAACAGAAAGAGTTAACCAGACCCTGGAACATTACTTGCGGAGTTATTGTTCATACCAACAGGATGACTGGGCAGAGCTGTTGCCTTTGGCAGAGTATGCATATAACTCGGCGGTCTCTGAGTCTACCAAAGTATCCGCATTCTATGCCAACTATGGATATGAACCCAGGACCAACTGGCCGGCCCCAAAGGAAGGAGTAGAATGGAACAATCCAGCGAGCGAGGTCATGATATCTCAATGGGAATCTATCTGGCAGGCTATGAACGCCAGCTTGGGTAAAGCTAGATTAAGGATGGCCCGGTGGTATGATGCTCATGCCCTGGCACCGCCTGAAATCAAGCCCGGAGATGAAGTTATGTTGGACCGGCGCAATGTGCAAACAAAGCGGCCTTTGGGAAAACTGGATCAGAAGAAGATGGGACCATTTAAGGTCTTAGAAGCTATTGGTACCCGTGCCTACAAGCTCTCTCTTCCCCCCCAAATGGGAATCCACCCGGTCTTTCATGTCTCTCTTCTGGAACCTTACCGAGCACCGGTAGATCCTGAGAGAAGAGTTCCTGTACCGGAGCCCGAAGAGATTGAAGGAGAACAGAACTGGGTTGTCCGAGAGATAGCCGATAGCCGGGTCAATAAGAAAAGGAGACGAGTGGAATACCTAGTGCTGTGGGAAGGTTATGAAAACGAGGATGCTACATGGGAACCTTGGGAGCATCTCAAGAAGAGTGCTGAAGAAGCCCTTCGGGATTTCCATATGAGGTATCCTAAGAAACCCAAGGACAAGCGGATTGTTGGGGTGTAGACTATTTCCTTTTGGGTTTTTCATTTCCTTGCACATCATGGAGTTTTCTTGTCATATAGATTGTATGGTAATAGAATGGTTATAGATCTCGGAGACCAAGATCCTGGAAGAGGGGAGTGGTGTAACGGAGCCATTTCAACTGTCTGGTGTATGAGTACACACAGGGCCCGGTTGCATGCTGAGAGTTATTGTTAGAAGCCAGTTGCACGGTGATATGCAAGTACCGGCAGTGTGGTTAGCTACCAGCTGTTAGAGTAACTACAAATCCGGGCGCTAGGAAGGGGATCTATTCATGGGAGCAATGACTGACGAGTCTATGCCTCGCCAGTGTCTAGAAGACCGGCCAGAGTGAAGCTCTGATTGTCCGGTGATCCACTGTATCCTCTGAGCATTGTAAGTCCGCCGAAGGGCAGGGACTATGCTAGGGAAGTCTACAATAAGCGAAAGCTCTACAGCAATGATTAAGCTTACACCTGAGCGGCAGCTCATTCATGCAGGTCCTCGGTTGTGTGGCAACCAAGGCTGCAGGTGTTACAAAGGCTTTGACTAAGGGTGGTTGCCTTGGGTATCGGAAACACCTGCTGACGCTTAGAGAAAAGCGGGGTAGCGGTGGTATTGTTTTCCGGTACTGAGGGAAGGCCCACAGGAACTTAGTAAAGGAGTTAGGAGCAGAGAATAGAGGCCTTCGGAGTATAAGTACTCAGGTTCATTCTCGCCCTTCAGTCCTGTTCTCTCCAGTCTTCATCAGAAAGAAAACCAAGTTCTTATCGGTAGCAGAGCCCTTAAAGATTATTGAGTTCTAGCGATAGTATCTTTGAATAATCTGCAACCTGATTGTCTATCTTGCACGGCCGTCTCTATTCTACTTTATTCTATTTCTCTTAGAAGAGACCCCCGTTACAGTACTCTGCTAACATCGGGGACTACCTGACGAGAATGGAGATCATGAACCAGCATGCTCAAATGAAAGGAGCATCCTATCGTGCCGCCCTGCTCCAAGGACTACCAAACGAAATCCGGGAGCGCCACTCACGCTTCGATCCAACCGATGACGACTCCGAGTACATCCAACAGTTGGAACGAGCCGGCAAGGCTCAGGAGGCTTATCAAGAGCAGATGAAGATGTTGGGGAAAGCGGAGTCGAGAGGAAGGGAGTCGAATAATGGTGGGAACTCGCGGCAGAAGGAAAAGGGGTTTAAGATCAAGGGGAGGGCTCTGACTGAGGAGAAAGAAAAGGGGCAAGATAAGAAGAGCACCAGCAAGAACAAGTCGGGGAATAAGCCAATATACCACGACTACGACGAAGCCACCAAAGGAGTTCCACAGCCGGTCCGAGACCAGCGAAAGACCGATGGAGCCTGTGTGCGATGTGGCCGAAAGGGTCATCTTTGGAAGTGGTGTCGTTCAGATGCTAACAGCAGTGCATCTATCTCCTCTTTCTCCCGAAAGCGTACCCGCGATGACGATGGCGACCACGATATGGAACCACCGGAACCCCAACCTCAGAGAAAGCGAATGAGGCACCGTGCTAAGAAGCCGGCTGCGATGGCTGCTGCGGAGTACACCAGTGGGCAAGCGTTTGTGCGAGAACGCGGATCGGAATCTGAGATGGATTTCGACGAGGATTTTTAAAAGGGGACTCTGATGAGTCAGGTCAGGAGTACCCCCAGATTGCTATGTTATCACTGACGGAAAACAACAAAAAAAATATGAAAAGAAAAAGGCAGGAAGGGAGAGCGTCCCAACCGGAGAAAAAACAGAAAATTTTGGAGGAACCTATTCATGGTCCTCGACCCATCGTTAATCAGTTCCTTTGTTTTGCGGAAAAATGTTTATCTTGTAAGGTGTTGTTGGATACTGGCGCAACTGGTCCTGTTTTGTCTGCCGTTTTTGTTGATAGTTTTGAGGTCCCGAAGGTGAAACGAGACGTCCCGGCCCGGGTATTTGGATTTACGGGAGAAGTTATGAAGGGCACGGGACACGCCTTTACACAACCATTAATTATAATGTCAAGGGGGCATCAAACACAGTTGTCATTCGAGATCGCCCCTCTCCCACTTGGCATCGATGCGATACTACCAAACTGGTGGTTGAAAGAACACAAGCCGGTTATAGGGGCAAATGGGGAAGTTTCCTACGATGGCGAGAACTGTAAGAGTCGATGCTTCACTGACAAGGAACCTCAAATAGAGATGGACGAGGGTGTATTGGACGATCCGGAGGCCCAATTCATCGGTAGTATTTGTCTTTTGGAAGATGAATCGGTTAACCTCCGTGAAACTCTTCCCTCTTGGCTCCATGGGTTCCTTAAAGTCTTTCTACCATCGGAAGCAGACAAATTACCACCGCATCGATCCTACGACCATGCGATAGATCTTGAACCGGGTAAACAGCCACCATGGGGACCCGTCTACTCCCTATCCGAAGTCGAGCTGAAGGTTCTTCGGGAATACCTGGACAAAATGTTGCGATTGGGAAAGATTAGACCGAGCAAATCCCCGGCAGGAGCCCCAATCCTATTTGTGAAGAAGAAGGACGGTAGTCTACGACTTTGTGTTGACTACCGTGGACTTAACCGCGTGTCCATCAAGAACAGGTATCCGTTTCCACTTATGGACGAACTACGAGATCGAGTAGCAGGCGCGGTTATCTTCTCGAAGATTGACCTGAAGGAAGGTTACAACCTCATCAGGATCAAAGACGGCGACGAGTGGAAGACAGCCTTCCGTACGCGTTACGGGCATTTTGAGTACCTCGTTATGCCTTTTGGGCTGGCAAATGCGCCGGCGACCTTCCAAAACATGATGAATGATGCGCTGAGGGAATTCTTGGATCAAGGTGTAGTAGTATACCTTGATGATATCCTAATATATAGCAAGTCTCGAGAGGAGCACAGAGAGTTGGTCGGCAAAGTCCTTAGTAGGCTACAAGAATACAATCTAGTCGCCAACCCGAAGAAATCGTTCTTCGAGCTCACCGAAATCGAGTTCCTTGGATACATTCTTGCCCCAGCAGGCGTCACCATGGCACTGGATAAAGTTATGTCTGTTACGAATTGGCAGGCCCCGCGCAGCGTTAAGGAAGTACAGATCTTCATGGGCTTTGCCAACTTCTACAGAAGGTTTATCCACAATTTCTCCGGGGTCTGTAAACCCATTACCGATTGTCTCAGGGGTGATGCTAAGAACTTTGTCTGGTCTATGACGGCCCAAGCAGCCTTCGAAAAACTCAAAACCCTGTTTACGTCCGCACCGATCTTGGTACACTTCTCTCCAGATCGCCAGACTATCGTGGAAACGGACGCAAGTGATTTTGCTATTGCCGCAATTCTATCCCAGGTTATTGACGGAAAGACTCACCCTGTTGCCTTTTATTCTCGAAAGCTTAACCCAGCGGAACTCAACTACGACGTCTGGGACAAGGAGATGCTGGGAATTGTGTCAGCCTTCAAGCAATGGCGTCACTACCTCGAAGGACCTAGTCGAACGGTCCTCGTCTACACGGATCATAAGAACTTGGAATATTTCTCATCAACCAAGGTTCTTAACCGACGACAGGCAAGGTGGGCTGAGTCTTTGGCGGAATTTGACTTCAAGATTATTTACCGCCCGGGAACCAAAAATGGGAAGGCAGATGCACTATCGCGACGGCCGGAGTACCGTCTTGAAGGGGGAGGCACGCTTGGGAAACAACAGATAGACAGGTTCTTTAAGCCCGGACAGTTGGCGCAGGAAGAGTTTGTGGTATCAGCGGTGTCGCTTGCCTCCAAGGGAGTGATCGACTGGTCTAAGAATTTTCTGGATCATGTCAGGCAGGCGGCATCGGGAGACCCGATATGGGTAGGAATGAGAGAGAGAGTGGAGCAAGGAGAGAAGCTGGGGGAATTGAAAGATATTGCTGAGAAAGACGGGCTACTCTTCTATAAGAACCGACTGTACATTCCAGCAGACGACCGCATCAAGATCTGAATTGCGCAGTCAGAACACGATTCGAAGGTGGCAGGACACTTTGGACAAGACAAAACTTTGGAACTCATCACGCGCAACTTCTATTGGCCGAAAATGAACGAGTGGATTGATGATTACGTTCGGTCATGTGACGAGTGCCAACGCAACAAACCCAGCCGCCATAAGAAATACGGTGCGCTTCTACCACTGTCCACGCCATATTCTGTCTGGCAATCGATATCAATGGACTTCGTCGTACAGTTACCGGAATCGAAGGGATACAACCAAATTTGGGTAGTAGTCGATAGGTTCTCGAAGATGTCGCACTTCATTCCCCTAGTAGCAGAAACGACCGCGCAGGATTTAGCGAAGATATTCCTCGGTCAAATCTGGCGACTCCATGGGCTGCCTCTTGATATAGTTTCCGACAGGGACGCCAAGTTTACTTCGAGTTTTTGGGCATCCCTTATGGAATTATTGGACGTGAGGATAAGAATGAGTACGGCTTTCCACCCTCTGACCGATGGGCAAACAGAGCGGGTCAACCAAACCCTCGAACACTACTTACGAGCGTTCTGCAACTACGAGCAAGATGATTGGGCAGAGCTACTCCCTTTGGCGGAGTATGCTTACAACAACTCGGTTACCACCGCCACGGGTCAATCTCCGTTCTATACCAATTACGGTTACAACCCAAGAACCAACTGGCCGACGGAAGCCGAAGTGGTCAACCCAACCAGTGACCTGTACGCTCACTTCATCCGGGGAGTTCATGATTCTGCTCTCGCTCGCTTAACAGATACCAGGGAGAAGATGGGGAAATACTATGATCGAAAAAGGGACGAACCGCCTAACTTCAAGGTGGGAGACATGGTTATGCTCAATGCGACCAATATCAAGACACGTCGCTCCACCAAGAAACTCGATCACAAGAAACTCGGCCCGTTCAAAATCATCCGACTAGCCGGGAAACGAGCCTGCGAACTGGAACTGCCGCCACAAGTCAAAATCCATAATGTGTTCCATATTGAACTCTTGGAACGGTATCGACAAAGCAGTATCCCAGGCCGAGAACAACGTCCCCCAACTCCCGAAGAGGTCGATAAGGAAGGAGAGGTGCTGTACGAAGTGGAAAGTATCGTGGGGAGCCGGAAAAGCAGAAGAGGATTAGTGGAATACCTGGTGAAATGGCGGGGCTATTCGATAAGTGACTGTACGTATCAAGTCATGGACGCTATGGATGAGGAAGTACTTGACCTTGTCCGCGACTTCCATCGAAGGAACCCCAAGGCCGTGAAGGACCAACGCCTGAGACTATAGAGGTACCCTACGGGGCTAAGTCCTTCCCCTCCACAGACACCGCGGGTGATATGTGGAGCAGGTTTACTGGAACCATAGTCTGTCAGAAGATGTCCCGAGACGTGACACCCTGGAAGGGGGGTAAGCTGTTACGGGAATGCCAAGCATTTACGGGAGTGAGAGAAAGGCTAGTAGATACCCCAATACCTTCTGTACGCTAATATCAACTCTTGACCACACTCGCGGAGTGTGGTGCGACCAAATTACGACCAAAAAACCCAGAGTCATAAAAAACACGTTTTCGACCCCAATAATAACCCCCGGAGCGTCAAACCGCCGGAGGGGAGTGTTTTGGTACCGGTGGATATATGAGGGACAGCTGGAATCAATCGGATCGAAGATCGGACCGCTCGGAGCGAATCGGCGCAAGCTGCCAGCCGACCGAGTACCTATCGGCGGTACCTGTGGGCATGAGAGGACTCTGCTATGTGGGAAAGCGATGTGGGAAGAGGCCTGAGTAGGTAGCCTTGCCGTCCGAGACCTCCGAATAGCCGACGCTGACGATTATCCACCAGACGGCCGATGGAGAAGAAACATCGACAGGGAAACGTGTATTAGAGTGGATAAATAGGTTGAGGGGTTTCAGCGGGTTTAGGAGTTTGGGTTACGGACTTAGGAGTTAAATGTTCTTGGTTGTTTTTCAGGGTCTCGGGCATGCCCCGAGTGTATTCTGTATTATTAGTAGACTGGGTCCTCGAGACATAAGCGAGGGATATAAATACTGTGTCATTCACTGACTAGCCAAACCATCATCGGCGAAATCAGAGTCTTAACAATATAAATCGTTGATACGCGAGTTACAACTTTATTTGACTATACTTTTGGAATTACTTTACTCTATCGTGACTTCGAACTCTACCTGAACTATTACGTCGAAGACGGTCGAACATCACACGCTAACTCTACTGAATCTTTGTTGATAACGTAGCTCGCGGGGCCCGTATCGGATCAAGGAGAATCATACTCGACGTTGACTGAAGAAACCTTGGAGGCTTCTACCTTTGTAGTTGTTAGCCGAATTCTGAGCTCTGCGTAGTGTACTCTTGTGGTCTGGTACGCATCCCTCACAGTTCCCCTGTCGATGTTTCTTCCCCATCGGCCGTCTGGTGGATAATCGTCAGCGTCGGCTATTCGGAGGTCTCGGACGGCAAGGCTACCTACTCAGGCCTCTTCCCACATCGCTTTCCCACATAGCAGAGTCCTCTCATGCCCACAGGTACCGCCGATAGGTACTCGGTCGGCTGGCAGCTTGCGCCGATTCGCTCCGGGTAGTCCGATCTTCGATCCGATTGATTCCAGCTGTCCCTCATATATCCACCGGTACCAAAACACTCCCCTCCGGCAGTTTGATGCTCCCGGGGTTAATATTGGGGTCGAAAACGTGTTTTTTAACTAGGGAAACCGCAACTCCGCATTTGGTCGCATATTGATCGCACCGCACCTCGTGGGTGCGAACCGGAGTTGACATTAGCATACAGAGGGTATTGGGGTATCTACTTGGCCTTTTCTCTTACTCCCGTAAAGGCTTGGCATGCCCGTAACAGCTTACCCCCCTTCCAGGGTGTCACGTCTCGGGACATCTTCTGACAGACTATGGTTCCAGTAAACCTGCTCCACATATCACCCGTGGTGTCTGTGGAGGGGAAGGACTTAGCCCCGTAGGGTACCTCTATAGTCTCAGGCATTGGTCCTTCACGGCCTTGGGGTTCCTTCGATGAAAGTCGCGGACTAGATCAAGTACGTCTTCGTTCATAACGTCCATGACTTGGTAAGTACAGTCGCTCATCGAATAGCCCCGCCATTTCACCAGGTATTCCACTAATCCTCTTCTGCTCTTCCGGCTTCCCACAATACTTTCCACTTCATACAGAACCTCTCCTTCATTATCGACATCTTCGGGAGTCGGGGGACGTTGCTCGCGGCCTGGGATACTGCTCTGTCGGTAACGTTCCAAGAGTTCGATATGGAACACGTTATGGATTTTGACTTGTGGAGGCAGTTCCAATTCGCAGGCTCGTTTACCGGCTAGTCGAATGATCTTGAACGGACCGAGTTTCTTATGATCGAGCTTTTTGGTGGAGCGACGTGTCTTGATATTGGTCGCATTGAGCATAACCATGTCTTCCACCTTGAAGTTAGGCGGTTCGTCCCTTTTCCGATCATAGTATTTCCCCATCTTCTTCCTGGTGTCTGTTAAGCGAGCGAGAGCAGAGTCGTGAACTTCTCGGAAGAAGTGAGCGTACAGATCACTAGTTGGGTTGACCACTTCAGCTTCCGTCGGCCAGTTGGTTCTTGGGTGGTAACCGTAATTGGTATAAAACGGAGATTGACCCGTGGCGGTGGTAACCGAGTTATTGTAAGCATACTCCGCCAACGGGAGTAGCTCTGCCCAATCATCTTGCTCGTAGTTGCAGAACGCTCGTAGGTAGTGCTCGAGGGTTTGGTTGTCCCGCTCTGTTTGCCCATCGGTCTGAGGGTGGAAAGCCGTACTCATTCTTATCCTCACATCCAATAATTCCATAAGGGATGCCCAAAAGCTTGAAGTAAATTTGGCATCCCTGTCGGAAACTATATCAAGAGGCAGTCCATGGACTCGCCAGATTTGACCGAGGAATATTTTCGCTAAATCCTGCGCGGTCGTTTCTGCTACTAGGGGGATGAAGTGCGACATCTTCGAGAACCTATCGACTACTACCCAGATTTGGTTGTATCCCTTTGATTCCGGTAACTGCACGATGAAGTCCATTGATATTGATTGCCAGACAGTGTGAGGGATGCGTACCAGACCGCAAGAGTACACTACGCAGAGCTCAGAGTTCGGCTAACAGCTACAAAGGTAGGAGTCTCCAAGGTCTCTTCAGTCAACGTCGAGTATGATTCTCCTTGATCCGATACGGGCCCCGCGAGCTACGTTATCAACAAAGATTCAGTAGAGTTAGCGTGTGATGTTCGACCGTCTTCGACGTAATAGTTCAGGTAGAGTTCGAAGTCACAATAGAATAAAGTATTTCAGAAAGTATAGTCAAATAAAGTTGTAACTCGCGTATCAACGATTTATATTGTTAAGACTCTGATTTCGCCGATGATGGTTTGGCTAGTCAGTGAATGACACAGTATTTATATCCCTCGCTTATGTCTCGAGGACCCAGTCTAATAATACAGAATACACTCGGGGCATGCCCGAGACCCTGAAAAACAACCGAGAACATTTAACTCCTAAGTCCGTACCCTAAACTCCTAAACCCGCTAAAACTCCTCAACCTATTTATCCACTCTAATACACGTTTCCCTGTCGATATTTCTTCTCCATCGGCCGTCTGGTGGATAATCGTCAGCATCGGCTATTCGGAGGTCTCGGACGGCAAGGCTACCTACTCAGGCCTCTTCCCACATCGCTTTCCCACATAGCAGAGTCCTCTCATGCCCACAGGTACCGCCGATAGGTACTCGGTCGGCTGGCAGCTTGCGCCGATTCGCTCCGAGCGGTCCGATCTTCGATCCGATTGATCCCAGCTGTCCCTCATATATCCACCGGTACCAAAACACTCCCCTCCGGCGGTTTGACGCTCCGGGGGTTATTATTGGGGTCGAAAACGTGTTTTTTATGACTCTGGGTTTTTTGGTCGTAATTTGGTCGCACCACACTCCGCGAGTGTGGTCAAGAGTTGATATTTAGCGTACAGAGGGTATTGGGGTATCTACTAGCCTTCCTCTCACTCCCGTAAATGCTTGGCATGCCCGTAACAGCTTACCCCCCTTCCAGGGTGTCACGTCTCGGGACATCTTCTGACAGACTATGGTTCCAGTAAACCTGCTCCACATATCACCCGCGGTGTCTGTGGAGGGGAAGGACTTAGCCCCGTAGGGTACCTCTATAGTCTCAGGCGTTGGTCCTTCACGGCCTTGGGGTTCCTTCGGTGGAAGTCGCGGACAAGGTCAAGTACTTCCTCATCCATAGCGTCCATGACTTGATACGTACAGTCACTCATCGAATAGCCCCGCCATTTCACCAGGTATTCCACTAATCCTTTTCTGCTTTTCCGGCTCCCCACGATACTTTCCACTTCGTACAGCACCTCTCCTTCCTTATCGACCTCTTCGGGAGTTGGGGGACGTTGTTCTCGGCCTGGGATACTGCTCTGTCGATACCGTTCCAAGAGTTCAATATGGAACACATTATGGATTTTGACTTGTGACGGCAGTTCCAGTTCGCAGGCTCGTTTCCCGGCTAGTCGGATGATTTTGAACGGGCCGAGTTTCTTGTGATCGAGTTTCTTGGTGGAGCGACGTGTCTTGATATTGGTCGCATTGAGCATAACCATGTCTCCCACCTTGAAGTTAGGCGGTTCGTCCCTTTTTCGATCATATTATTTCCCCATCTTTTCCCTGGTGTCTGTTAAGCGAGCGAGAGCAGAATCATGAACCCCTCGGATGAAATGAGCGTACAGATCACTAGTTGGGTTGACCACTTCGGCTTCTGTCGGCCAGTTGGTTCTTGGGTTATAACCGTAATTGGTATAAAACGGAGATTGACCCGTGGCGGTGGTAACCGAGTTGTTGTAAGCATACTCCGCCAACGGGAGTAGCTCTGCCCAATCATCTTGCTCGTAGTTGCAGAACGCTCGTAAGTAATGCTCGAGGGTTTGGTTGACTCGCTCTATTTGCCCATCGGTCTGAGGGTGGAAAGCCGTACTCATTCTTATCCTCACGTCCAATAATTCCATAAGGGATGCCCAAAAGCTTGAAGTAAACTTGGCGTCCCTGTCGGAAACTATATCAAGAGGCAGCCCATGGAGTCGCCAGATTTGACCGAGGAATATCTTCGCTAAATCCTGCGCGGTCGTTTCTGCTACTAGGGGAATGAAGTGCGACATCTTCGAGATCCTATCGACTACTACCCAAATTTGGTTGTATCCCTTCGATTCCGGTAATTGCACGACGAAGTCCATTGATATCGATTGCCAGACGGAATGTGGTGTGGACAATGGTAGAAGCGCACCGTACTTCTTATGGCGGCTGGGTTTGTTGCGCTGGCACTCGTCACATGACCGAACGTAATCATCAATCCACTCGTTCATTTTTGGCCAATAGAAGTTACGTGTGATGAGTTCCAAAGTTTTGTCTTGTCCAAAGTGTCCTGCCACCTTCGAATCGTGTTCTGACTGTGCAATTCGGATCTTGATGCGGTCGTCTGCCGGAATGTACAGTCGGTTCTTATAGAAGAGTAGCCCGTCTTTCTCAGCAATATCTTTCAATTCCCCCAGCTTCTCTCCTTGCTCCACTCTCTCTCTCATTCCTACCCATATCGGGTCTCCCGATGCCGCCTGCCTGAAATGATCCAGAAAATTCTTAGACCAGTCAATCACCTCCTTGGAGGCAAGTGACACCGCTGATACCACAAACTCTTCTTCCGCCAACTGTCCGGGCTTAAAGAACCTTTCTATCGGCTGTTTCCCAAGCGTGCCTCCCCCTTCAGGACGGTACTCCGGCCGTCGCGATAGTGCATCTGCCTTCCCATTTTTGGTTCCCGGGCGGTAAATAATCTTGAAGTCAAATTCCGCCAAAGACTCAGCCCACCTTGCCTGTCGTCGGTTAAGAACTTTGGTTGTTGAGAAATATTCCAAGTTCTTGTGATCCGTGTAGACGAGAACCGTTCGGCTAGGTCCTTTGAGGTAGTGACGCCATTGCTTGAAGGCCGACACAATTCCTAGCATCTCCTTATCCCACACGTCGTAGTTGAGTTCCGCTGGGTTAAGCTTTCGAGAATAAAAGGCAACAGGGTGAGTCTTTCCGTCAATAACCTGGGATAGAATTGCGGCAATAGCAAAATCACTTGCGTCCGTTTCCACGATAGTCTGGCGATCTGGAGAGAAATGTACCAAGATCGGTGCAGACGTAAACAGGGTTTTGAGTTTTTCGAAGGCTGCTTGGGCCGTCATAGACCAGACAAAGTTCTTAGCATCACCCCTGAGACAATCGGTAATGGGTTTACAGACCCCGGAGAAATTGTGGATAAACCTTCTGTAGAAGTTGGCAAAGCCCATGAAGATCTGTACTTCCTTAACGCTACGCGGGGCTTGCCAATTCGTAACAGACATAACCTTATCCAGTGCCATGGTGACGCCTGCTGGGGCAAGGATGTATCCGAGGAACTCGATTTCAGTGAGCTCGAAGAACGATTTCTTCGGGTTGGCGACCAGATTATATTCTTGTAGCCTACTAAGGACTTTGCCGACCAACTCCCTGTGCTCCTCTCGAGACTTGCTATATATTAGGATATCATCAAGGTATACTACTACACCTTGATCCAAGAATTCCCTCAGCGCATCATTCATCATGTTCTGGAAGGTCGCTGGCGCATTTGCCAGCCCAAAAGGCATAACGAGGTACTCAAAATGCCCGTACCGCGTACGGAATGCTGTCTTCCACTCGTCGCCGTCTTTGATCCTGATGAGGTTGTAACCTTCCTTCAGGTCAATCTTCGAGAAGATAACCGCGCCTGCCACTCGATCTCGCAGTTCGTCCATAAGCGGTAGAGGATACCTGTTCTTGATGGACACACGGTTAAGTCCACGGTAGTCAACGCAAAGTCGCAGACTACCGTCCTTCTTCTTCACAAATAGGATTGGGGCTCCTGCAGGGGATTTGCTCGGCCTAATCTTTCCCAATCGCAACATTTTGTCCAGGTACTCCCGAAGCACCTTCAGTTCGACTTCGGATAGGGAGTAAACGGGTCCCCATGGTGGCTGCTTCCCTGGTTCGAGATCTATCGCATGGTCGTAAGATCGATGCGGTGGTAGTTTGTCGGCTTCCGATGGTAGGAAGACTTTAAGGAACCCATGGAGCCAAGAGGGAAGAGTTTTACGGAGGTTAACCGATTCATCTTCCAAGAGACAGATGCTACCGATGAATTGGGCCTCCGGATCGGCCAGTACACCCTCGTCCATTTCTATTTGAGGTTCCTTGTCAGTGAAGCAACGACTCTTGCAGTTCTCACCATCGTAGGAAACTTCCCCATTTGCCCCTATAATCGGCTTGTGTTCTTTCAACCACCAGTTCGGTAGTATCGCGTCGATGCCAAGTGGGAGAGGGGCGATCTCGAATGACAACTGTGTTTGATGCCCCCTTGACATTATAATTAATGGTTGTGTAAAGGCGTGTCCCGTGCCCTTCATAACTTCTCCCGTAAATCCAAATACCCGGGCCGGGACGTCTCGTTTCACCTTCGGGACCTCAAAACTATCAACAAAAACAGCAGACAAAACAGGACCAGTTGCACCAGTATCCAACAACACCCTACAAGGTAAACATTTTTCCGCAAAACAAAGGAACTGATTAACGATAGGTCGAGGACCATGAATAGGTTCCTCCAAAATTTTCTGTTTTTTCTCCGGTTGGGATGCTCTCCCTTCCTGCCTTTTTCTTTTCATATTTTTTTTGTTGTTTTCCGTCAGTAATAACATAGCAATCTGGGGATACTCCTGACCTGACTCATCAGAGTCCCCTTTTAAAAATCCTCGTCGAAATCCATTTCAGATTCCGATCCGCGTTCTCGCACAAACGCTTGCCCACTGGTGTACTCCGCAGCAGCCGTCGCAGCCGGCTTCTTAGCACGGTGCCTCATTCGCTTTCTCTGAGGTTGGGGTTCCGGTGGTTCCATATCGTGCTCGCCATCGTCATCGCGGGTACGCTTTCGGGAGAAAGAGGAGATAGATGCACTGCTGTTAGCATCTGAACGACACCATTTCCAAAGATGACCCTTTCGGCCACATCGCACACAGGCTCCATCGGTCTTTCGCTGTTTTCGGACCGGCTGTGGAACTCCTTTGGTGGCTTCGTCGTAGTCGTGGTATATTGGCTTATTCCCCGACTTGTTCTTGCTGGTGCTCTTCTTATCTTGCCCTTTCTCTTTCTCCTCGGTCTGAGCCCTCCCCTTGATCTTAAACCCCTTCTCCTTTTGCCGCGAGTTCCCACCATTATTCGTCTCCCTTCCTCTCGACTCCGCTTTCCCCAACATCTTCATCTGCTCTTGATAGGCCTCATGAGCCTTACCGGCTCGTTCCAACTGTTGGATGTACTCGGAGTCGTCCTCAGTTGGATCGAAGCGTGAGTGGCGCTCCCGGATTTCATTTGGTAGTCCTTGGAGCAAGGCGGCGCGATAGGATGCTCCTTTCATCTGAGCATGCTGGTTCATGATCTCCATTCTTGTCAGGTAGTCTCCGATGTTAGCAGAGTACTTAAACTGCTGCATCTTCATTGCGTTTTCCATAGCCTCCTGAGTACTTAAGAAGCGTTTCCTAATCTCCTGACGGAACCGAGTCCAAGTGGCGTAGTCCGCGGCTGCCGGTCCTAGCATCTTGGTCTCGATGTATTCCATGAACCATTCCTTTGCCAACCCACACGTATACGTTCCAGCGAACAGTACCTTGTTCCTGTCCGTTCGGAACTTCTTGGGCTTCTGCTCAAAGTAGATCTCGCATTCCATGAGCCAATGCCGCAGGTTATGCTTCCTGGCATTATCGAACTCGAAGGGTATTTTGGCAAGCGAATCTACCATATCGTCGTCTTCAGGCGGCGCCGAATTCCGGTTCCCGCCTCGGTTCCTTCTCCAATTCTTCCGACCGTGCGACCATTCACTGTTATCGTCGTCATCGTCGTCGGAAGGTTCTGGGTCTCCCCCAACGTTTCCTCTTGGTGGGTTTTGTGGAGGTTGATTCCCACCATTCCCGCCAACTGGAGCAGCTCCCACCGGTCCTCTGCCATTATTGCCCTGCACTGGGCCGGCATCCTCCGGTTGCCTGCCTCCATTCCCTCCTACTGGACCAGCGTTTCCTCCTACTGGGCCAGCATTTTCGGGTTTCTTGCCATTGCCAACAGGAACCATTCGGGGTGCATTAGGATCTAAGGGAGCACTTGCCACGGAAGGTGCTACTGACAGATGTTGTCGCAGTAGTTCCTCCATCTCGGCTATCCGTTGGTTTCTTTCCGCATCGGACCGCTTGAATTCCGCAAACCAAGCTCGTTGCTCCCCTTTTTCTTGCTCTCGCTCTTCTCTTACCATCCTCAGTTGTCGCTCCGCCTCCTGTAACTGGTTCTGGGTTTGCAGATGACTTTGCTCCAGAACCTTGTGGTCGGCGGCTCGTGCAGCTTCATGTACTTGTTGGACACTGGAGACGAGTTCAAAGAGCGATTCCAGATGTTGTTTTTGGGCAATGGCTTCTTGTCGCACCTTCTTGTCCAGGATTTGCCCACTCCCTTGGACTTGTTCCTGGAGGTTTTGTAGCTGCTGCCAAACGGCCTGTCCAGCTGCACCAAGATACCTCATTTGTGCCTCATGGGTATCCAAAAACTCC